AATGTGACATTAGAGATTTAGTAAAAACTGCTCCAAAAAACAAGGAATGAAGTTTCAGACAATGTGAAATACTCCAGCTGGAAGAGATGCATGACTTGCTTGGCCACTTTTCTGTGCTCAGTCTCAGCACAGTAACAAGCAAGGCTACACTGACAGGGAGCTAAAACAACCCAGTGATGTTAATAAGAAGAGATAACACATACCACAGAATGGAACTATCTGCTGCAATGTAGAAAAAAAAGAAAATCCACTTCCAGAGACAGCACCCACACCGGCACATTGAAAAATCACACACAAATCCAGCCAAACACCACATTTATTGGTTGATCATTAGCACATTTACTAATTTTGATCATTGCACATTTGCTAATTTTGTTCAGAGCTGAAGGCTAATAAGCCAGCAGGAGTCCTGCTGCCAGCCTCAGGAGCTGTCACACCCCTGGAGCAGCTCCAAGCAATGCCACATCACAGCCCCAGGTACCACGGTCCTGTCAGGACTTGAACCTTTCAGGCAGCTGAACACAGCCCTCCAAAGGGAGCCTTTCCAAGCTCCTAATAAACCTTGCATGCACATTCCTGGATCCCATCCTTCTGGCTGCTTCAGTTTTGCTTGATTTCACACATCCCCATCCCTGTCACAGAGGAGGCACTTTGTCCAGGATGGGCACAAAAATCAACCACCACATCATACTCTAAGGCACTCGGCTTCTCCAGCCACAGAACATGAAATTATTTTGGACACAACCAACCAGACTCTGCCAACGTACTGTGAAGTGCTGTCCTGAGGTATTTGGGACATATGATGTAGGCAGAAGGCCAAGCCTGGAGCTTATTAAATGTCTGCATAAATGTTCTGATCTTAGTAAAACTATTTGGCTTATCACTGTTAGTTTATTTTCTTTCCATTGCTGAACAATCCTATTATATACCTGAAAATTACTTTGCCAAGTTTGGAGCAGTTTTTAAAAATAATCACTTCAGGATTAGGCAAATTCTCCTTTGAGAGTTTTCTAAGTACCCAATATCCACACAGCTAAGAGACATTTATTTCCTAATTTATTAACTGTGGATATTAAGGATTTCAGCCTAAACCTGCTGCCATGAAGCCATCAGTGATAACACACAAACTTGTACCATTTGCATATTTTAGATGCAAAAATGGTACAACTTCAGGGATGTGTGCCACTGAAAAAAATCAACTTCAATCAAATTATAAAAACAGTTACTTTGACAATTACCTGTTTCTTCACAGCAGGGTATTTCTATTCTGCAAAATACAGTGTCCACCGAACCCATTAAAGTCATTAAAAAGTCATTTAAAGTCATTAAACTGGGATTTCCTCCCACTTCACACACCACCATGTATGACCCTCCAGTGAGTGACTGGACCTCAAATGGGACATTCACACCCAAAAATCTTCGTGAAGATCCAGCACAGAGGTGAGGCAGACAATCCAAGTTCAGCTCTGCTACAGAACCAATTCTGACTTTCAGTCTTGCTTAGGATGTCTCCCTGACCCACCTGAGAGAGCAGAGCTGACTGGGCTGGGGTTTTTTGGGGGTGAGGGGCTAGGCCAAGGGGGAAGGGCATGTTTAAGCCTGGTGTTACTTCTGGGATTTATCCTTGAGGAAAATAACACAGCCTTGGCCTGGAGGTTGTGCCAACCCTAAAAGCTGAGCAGAAGTAAAGAACTGCTCAGCGTTTCTCACAGCATTTCCTCTCCAAGCCAAACTGCAGCACAGGCTCCACTCAGCCCCTGCAAACCTTCCCTGCCCAGCCCAGCCTGGCTGCAAAGCCTCACTGGACACACACAGGAGCATCTGCCAAGCCCTGGGCAGCAGGGGAGGGTCACAGAGCAGGTACCAGCACAGCAGAGCTCCTCCTGCAGTCACAAACCTCTGTACTGGAACTCACCTTGGTACCTCTAATAAACACGTGGCAGCTCTTTGGAAGAATGTTTTCCTTCTTTCCCTTTTACACACAGTGCTTTTACAAGAGTAAAAGCATGTGCAATAAAAAGAAACAAAAAAACCCCATTTGCTATGAAACAATTCCCCATCCATAGTCAAGTGTCATGCAACTGAAGAAAAGGTTTGTCCCCATTCATAACACAGGCTTCTGTCCAAGTTACAGCCATCCAAATTCCCATTTCATGTTAATAACATGTATCCAATACTTAATAAAATAAAAAACCACACATATTCCACAGCTCTCCCCTGCTGTTATTACATCACTACCCAAGTTCAAGGAGAGCCATAAGGATGTGCATGGCTAGCAGGGACTGCAAGAAGACATCTCAGGAGCATCCCTCAGAGCACATTTCATGCCACAGACAAGACTCCTTTTTCCCAGCTCTGTAGATTTGTGTTATCCTGTGCTTTTTTCATGTTAATTCCTTCTACTTTGTCTCCCCCCACCTTCCTACTCCTTCCTCCCTTTGGATGATGCTCCAGCTACAGACTTTATCCCTCTCCACCGTTACTTCCTTGCCCCATTGAGGGGACAGTGTCCTGGCAGTCCTGAGCCACAAGGACGCTGCTGCTTCACAGGCACCCCAGCACCTCCCAGTGCAGCTCCTCTTGCACCTGCCCCCATGAACACACACCTCCCTTGCCTGGCCCCTTGTTGAAGGCTTTCTTGCTCTTTGGAGAGGGGTCAGAAAAGCCTGACCACTCTCAGATTAGTTTCAGCCATGTATTTTCCAGCTGTAATAGGGAGCTTAGAAAAGAACAGAACTCTGAGATACACAGCCTGTTTGAGCACTTCAGGAGACCCCACCATGTGAGTTTATTTCTATTTAAGTGTTTGCCTATCAAAGGCAATTTTTTCCCAGGACAGCCTCAACTGCAAATGCTGAAGGACAACAGCTGCTTACCAACTCTGAATGAATTTCTAAGCCCAGAAAAAGAGAAATATAAAGTAATTACCAGACAATAAATCTTTGCTTATTCCCCAAAACAAGTATGATGTATTAATCATTACCTCTACTTTGATGGCAACAAGAAAGATCTAATATTTCACAAAGAAACCTTCAGGAACTCCTAAGACTGAAAACAACTTCATAGCAAATCTCTCAAGTGTTCTGGTGACCAACTGCAAGCTCACCTAAATTTCATTCAAATTTCATCTCTGTGCAGTACAGCTTTTAGAGAGTCACCACTGTTACCTGTCTTAATTTTGATCCCACTGGCATAAACACCCTTCCATCACATCAACCTGCACACACAGAACAAGCACAAACATACAGCTCTGAATTCATGAGCATATTGCAGGGCTCAAACCCAGATTTACACGGATGACTACACACATAAAGGGCAGAGAGGGCCTGGATGGGTCTAGAGATTTATTTCTTCCCTTCCCTCACCTACCAGGCCAAAGACTTTTCAACACCATGTTATCAGCACTGTTTCTTGGTGGTACTCCAAAGGACATGTGCTGGTACTGCTGGATGGCTTTCTGGAAAGAGAACTCTCCAAAGTCAAGGCTACCCACCAGGGTAGGCACGGGCTGTGCCAGACTGAGGACTGCATTATTAACAGAATCCAGATTTGTGTCTCATTCTGAGACATCATGCTTCCCCTAGCAAAGCTCCTTCAGTCCCCAGGAATTCAAATCCCCTGCTTTTATCTGCCTGTGAAAGGCAAGGAAGGTGGCAGCTCTGACAGGATCACTTGTTCTCACTGAGCAGCAGCACACGTGGTGTGAACTCACTTTGTGCTGCATCTCAGGGTGAGGTGGCAGCCAGGGCTGGGGAGGGCTCTGGGTGTGCAGAGATGGGGAAACATCTTCGCAAAGGGCACTCCCTGCACAAGGGGAGCTGCAGGACAGCAGCAGAGCTGCAGACTTGCTTGTCTCCCTGGAATTTGCACATGCACCCCCCACCTCCCCAGGATCAGGTGCCTCTCGCAGCTCTGGCAGAGGACAATGTGACAATTAAGTCACTTCTTGTGCTGGATTCCAGCAGCAAGATGAGCAGAGCCCTTGTTGGGGATGTCTGCAGCACAGCAGGGCTGCCAGCAGTGTGTGAGTGCTGCCTGCACCCCTCCAGCCACTGCTGACAGCACCAGCACAGAGATCTGCTTCAGGAACAGCAGCCAGATCAGACTGCTCAACATGGACCTTTCCCTGCCTGGCAGCTGACAAGCCATGGGTTTACAGTCAGTCCCACAAGGTTGCATGGCTGGGATGGGTGTGCCAAAATACAACTTTAACCTTACTTTTTTTTTCAACACCTAGACATTAGACTGAAGTATTCTGCAAAGAAAACAGAATTTAAGACAGTGCCAGAGCTCATGAGTTTCCAACACCCACAAATGTCCCGTTGAAACCTTGGGATGAACATTCAATTTAAAAAACATTCCTGAAACAACTTTCACCTCACCTTATACCAATGTTCAGCACAAAAGAGTTATGATAATGAGTGAAAGTACTCTTTATTACTCACTTCTCAGCATCTGTTACTAAACCAAGCACATTTACTAAACTGTCAGTACCTTGACAGGTCTCAGGGGGTTAAGGAAGAAGAGGTTTGGGTAGGGAATGCACAGGAAGCAGCTACAAGGGGAACAAAGTCTCACAGCTTTACCCAATTCAGCTGCTGCCAAAGCAAGGGTCTCAGCTTTCTGGAACCCTCTGTCTGCACTCTCTGCCTTGGGTCAGCTCCAGCCTTCTCTTTGACAAGAATGAGCTGGAGCAGCTCACCAATCCAGCTCAAACAACCCTTCCTCTTGTCCCTCCTTCTCTGCAGGCTTTGTTTTCATCAGATCAGTGAGTGCAGGTGGCTGCAAGGTGCTGGTGGGAGCACATGGGAGTGGAATGGTGCTGTCCCTCACCTGTGCAACTGGGCAGATGCAGAGCCTTCCTTTGCACCACTGGTATCTTTACTCAGAGTAAACCAAGTGCAGGAGGGCACCTTCCTTTCCTCTACAGATGCTCTGAAGCCTGGGAGAAGGAAGGAGAGGATGGAGAAGTTGAAGTAGTAAAGCAAAGCTCCCAGCACAGCACTGCTCAGGGAGACAGCTCTGAGCCCACCAGAGTTGAGGGCTTGCACCTTGCTTGGCTCCCCCAGAGCCTCTCTGGAGATCAGGCCCTGCACTTCTCCCCCATTTGTATTTATCTGTCCCAGACTACAGGTCTCTCCTGAAACAGAGCAGGGAGGTGTGGGAAAGCAGCCAGGGCCTGCCAGCACCAGCACCCTTGGGAGAACATTCACACAAACTGACCCACAACCAGGGTAGAGCTGCTCCTCCTCCAAGCAGAGCTGGCTTGTCCCTTGACTTCAGTTTCAAAATAGCACACTGCTCAATTTTTAATTTTACTGGGGATGTGGGGAGGCAATAACATGATGACAGGACACAGAGCACAGTAAATACCTGGTGTCCTCATATCAGCATTTACTCATTAGAGAATTGAGCTCATCTCATTAAGAAGCAGTAAAGCATCTCTTCTGTTCCCTCCACCTTGTTGGACCTGTTGGCTCAACACTTCTGCTCTCCACAGGCACCAAAGAACACCCACCACTGCCTCTGGAGTATGCCAGACACCAGTGCTAGCTAAGCAGACACTCCACAGCTGCAGCACGTACAAACTGCAATTAAAATCAATGCATTTTCCTTGCTTCTTTTTATTAACTTGTTTAAGACACTCTCGGGTAAGTTGAACTAAAACCAGACTTCTCCCTATTCTGTTCTCACTCCCCTTGACTCTGACCAACAGCCTGTGGTCAGCCCTGCCAGACTCTCATGCCCCAGCTCAGCCAAAACTCAGTATTCACCTCCATGGATCATCTGAACCAAAAACGTGGGATCAAATCCACCAGGATTTATCAAAACCCCAACAACTCAGAGAATCAACTTTCTCTTTCAAAGCAGTTGTTTCATCTTCAGCAGTGGGTTTCATCTGCTTCCAGGGTGGAAGGCACAGCAGTGGTCCTTCGTGCTGCCCCAGCAGGAGCCTCCAGAGCAGTCCAGAGCCGTCCCAGGCACAGGCTCAGTGCTCATCCTGCATTTCCTGCTGCAATACCTCGCTATGGAGCATACCTGCGAGCAGGGGCACTTCCAACAGCCAAACTGATAAATAAGAAAATTTATCCACAACACAGATTCCTCACATTTGCTCCTGGAACCCCTGATCACACATCCAGTTTTCCCAGGCCACTGGAAACAGCTCCCAGAGGCTCAGGACAGATAATTTGTTTCTTACTCTTACATTTTATTCCTCAGTCTCTCACTATTTACCATGGAAATATTGAAGGTAACATTTCCTGCAGTTTGTGTATTACAAGCCCCATGCAGCTCCTGCACATCCTCCAAGGGAACCAGAACTGTCCCCAGCAGGATCCTCAGCTGCTGAGGAGCATCTGCCAGGTGCCAACACTGCAAAAGATGCAGCGGGTGATCCATCAGCTTCCTTATCAGCCCTAGACGGATGAAGGAAGGCAGTAAGCACTGCATTCAGCCTCCTTTGTCTGGGCACAAAAGCCTGCAGAAACTCTGCCACTGCAGTTTACAGAAAGGTTTTCCTGGTAGAGAGGCTGCTGCTCACTTAGCTACCTCCACTGTGCGGCCCAGGTCTCTCTCCCAGACAAGTGAAGGCAGCCCTGCAGCTCCTTCCTGCCCTGCACAGCGCACCAACGCTGCGCCAAAAGCACTCCGAGCCTGCCGATGGCATCAGTGACCAAGGTACCCCACGGCTCCATCCCCAGGAACGAGAAGCGGCCCGGCAGCCTCTCCCACACAAAGCAGGGAGACAGCCATTCCCTCAGAGGCCTCGGGTGGGGCTGGCTCATCCACACCCCTCACCTTCCCGGCTCTTCGTCCCTCCCTCCCTCCCCTGCGGGAGCTGTGACATCGCTGCGGAGCCCGGCCCGCTCGGTTGGAGCGGGGGGCGAAGGAGCCGCTCCCGGGCTCGCCTCAGTCCCCAGCGCACCAGAGCCAGGGCAGCACTTGCACGCTCCAATTTCTCGCACGTGTTTTAGCCTTTGCCATCCCGTACAAAGAAAGAAAGACAGGGGAGCCTAATCCTAACTAGTGTGGCTATAAAACACGTGCACTCATCCGCGTTTCTGTAAGTTACTCTTCTTCCATAAAGATGACAAAAATTCGGATGACCAACAGGCCGATTTAACCTCAGCAAGGGCTCCTCTCCGGTCCCAGGGATGTCCCTTGTGCTGAGCAGACCGTGCGAGGCCTCGCAGGGCGGGAACAATGCTGGGCTCCCACAGGTACTCTGAACTAGCACAAAGATTTCATTGAACGAGGCACTAAGAGCTGTTCCGCCAGCCATACTCATCATCTACAAAAGTTACCACAGACTGAGAGCAGGATCGCAAACACCACAGCCCCTGGGATGCTGGAGGTTAGCAGAGAAGCTCATGAGGAAGGGAGACAAACACTGCAAGCCCCGACTGCACAAACAGCTCTCGCCACACTTCAGACAAGCCTCCCACCCGCACGTGGAAAGGGCGGCATCACACATCCCGGCAAACCGCGTTGGGAAGAGACACGAGAGAGCTCACATACCGGCAGTGAACTATGGTGCAAGCACTTCGGACACCAGGCAGTGTCTGTGGCCATGTGAGACTCCAGCAGGTACCTGGTCCAGAGCAGCCCCGGGCATCGCACACCCGCCTTCTCTGACTCGGCAGGCCCCGCGCACCGCCGCCCTCCAGCCGCCCGCTCCCCCCGCCCCACTCACCAAAGTACTCCTTCTTCATGTGCATCTCCAGCTCCTTCTCCAGCTCTAGCGTCAGCGCCTCCAGCCGCCTCTCCGCCTGGCTGGGGCCGCTCTCCCGGCACGGCGTCACCTGGTAGGGGAGCTTGAATTTGGGAGCCGAAGCGGAGCCTTTGGTCGGGCTGTAGGCGTAGGGGGGCGGCGGCTCGGGGGCGCCGGCCGGGTGCTGCTGGTCGTGCCGCGGCGGGGACTGTGCATGGATGCGGTGGTACACGTCCCCCAGCTCGGGCACGGCGCCGTCCTCCTGCAGGCCGGGCCCCAGCAGGGACGAGCGGGGCGACGGCAGCTGCAGCTCGGGGTAGGCGCTCATGGAGCCGCGGGAGCTCCGCGAGCTCTGGCTGGAGATGCTGGAGCGGGGGCTGACCACGGCGGGGCCGGCCGAGCCACGGCCCTCGGGGCCGCAGAGGCTGGAGCGGGGGCTGGCCAGGGCGAGCCCGGCGCCGGCCGCCCCCTCGGGCTCGGCGCTGCCCGGCGGGCCGTACCTGCAGTCCGAGTAGCTGGAGCGGGGACTGGCGGTGCAGGAGTACTGGCTGGCGGTGCTGGAGCGGGGGCTGGCGTGGCGCTGGTCGTAGCCCATGCTGATGCCGCTGGTGCGGTTGCTGCTGGGCTTGCTGCCGCCGCCGTCGTAGCCGGTGAGGCTGGCGCGGGGGCTGGAGTGTTTGCTGGTGTCACTGGCCGTGCTGGCGTAGCTGGAGCGGGGGCTGAGGGCGGCTCCGTCGTACTGCACCAGGCTGGCGCGGGGGCTGCCGAACTTGTCCTGCCCGGGCACCACCAGGCTGGAGCGGGGGCTGGAGAACTTCTCGTAGGGCAGCGCGACCGCGCCGCCCAGGCTGGAGCGCGGGCTGGAGAACTTGCCGTGCTCGGCGGCGGGGCCCGGCGAGGCGGCGGCCAGGCTGGCCCGCGGGCTGGCGGCGCCGAACTTGCCGTCCGGGCCGCCGGGAGCCCGCCCGCCGCCCTTGGCCACGTAGCCGCCCTCGTAGGCGCTGCCCGCGGCGTAGCGGTAGCCCTCGGCCGAGTAGCGCTTGCCCTTGTCGGTGAAGCCGCTGTAGCAGGGCAGCGCCACCTCGGAGCGGGTGCACAGCCCCTCCTCGCAGCACGGCGGGCCCGCGGGCGGCTCGGCGGCGGCGCGGCCGTTGGCGCGGAGCGGGGCGGCTTTGCCGCAGGGGGCGGCGGCGGGGAAGCCTTCGGCGGGCGGCGGCGCGGCGGTGCCGTTCATCTTCCGGCCCCGCTGCTCCGCCGTCATGTGGGCGGCGATGACCCGCTTGGTCTCCTCCAGGTCGGGGTGCAGCGCCAGGTCCCGGCGGCCGCCCCGGCCGTACGGACCCTCCGGGCAGGGCTCGTACAGGGACAGGTCCTCCATGAACTTGGTGGCCTTCAGTGCCATGTCCTCCTCGTACTTCTCCATGCTCGGCCGGAGCCCGGCGGCGCGGGGCGGGGGAGGGCGGTGAACTCTCCGCGAAAGCGCAGCCCGGAGCGGAAAAAGAAGAGGAGTGGGGAAAAAAAAAGAAAAAAAAAAACAAAAACAACACAATAAAAAGCCAAAAAGCACCAAAAAATCCCCAAATCCGGCAACACAAGAAGCACCCCAGAAGAAAGCCCCTTCCCGCGGTCCTGGCGGGGCAGCGGCGGGACGCGACTCCTTGTCCGGAGAGCTGCGAGGCGGCGGCTGGGCTCGGGGCGGTCACCCGGGCGGCATCCCGCGCCGCGGCGCTGGGCTCGGTGCGGCCGGGCTGCCCGGCGGAGCGCGGCCGGCGCAGACGAGGCGCCCCTGTGTCACTTTCCAGCCTTAAATAAGTTGCTCGGTCCAGTCAATGGCGCGCTGCGCGGAGGAATTTGCGCTCGGCGGGTCCCGGCCCCCGCCGCCCCCGGCGGCCGCCCCGCGGCGGGGCCGCGGCTCTCCCGCACCCCCGGGCGGGGGCGAAGGCGGCGGCCGGCCCGGAGGGGCTCTGCGGCGCGGCGAGCGCAGCGCGGGGCGCGGCGAGGCAGGGACTCCTTTGTGTGGGGCAGGAATGCGAGGAAGGAGACTGGGCGCTGCGTCCCGCTGGAATGTAGTTAATGCCGGAGCCAAACAATGATTTTCCCCGAGTCAGTCAGGGAGAGGGCGGCCGCGGCGCTGCTCGGCGGCGGGGTCGGCAGCTCCCTCCTCGGCTGGGGCCGGCCGAGCCCGGCCCGGGGCCGGCGGCGGGCGGTGGCGGGGCTGTCACCGCGCCTGGGTCCCCACGCGGGGCTCGGGGAGCCGCGCACGGAGCGCCCGGGCAGGAGCGCTCGGGGTCCCGGCCCGGGGAGGCTCCGCTGCCCGCGCCCCTCGCTGGGTCTCTCCGGCAGCACCCACGGCCTCGGCCCGCGCGGGGAACGGGCGGCTCTGCCCCGCACAAACACCGGCATCGCTGCGGGGGCTGCCGATCGGGAGCAGCCCCGCACCTGTGCGGAGTCCCCAGCACTGGCCAGGTGTCTCCGTTGAAAGGACTTGTGTTTGTAGCACGGCAGCTGAGGGTTGTTGCCAGTTATTTATTAAGCCTTTAAAAAAAAAAAAAAAAAAAAAAAAGGGGAGCGCTAAGACATATGATAAACATATTGTGGCCTAAAGCAATCTGTGAGCTGACGGGAGTGTAAAAAAGCAGCTACTGTGTGTGTGACTGCAAGAGCTTCATCTGTTGATCGCTGACGAACACCCCGGCGCCGCTTGCTATTTACATCTGTGTGCTCACGGGAAAGAGTGTCAGGAAACAGCCCCTCGAAAGGACAATTGAACCAAGACCCTCGACACTAAACCATAGCCTACAGTTCTTTTTTTTTTTTTTTCTCCTCTTTATAACTGAGCTGCAGCTCCCTGACAATCATTTCGGTTGATTGCAGAAATGCTGACAAAGTCCTAGCAGCAGGTATCTGACCAGTGTCCTTACACTGCTGGGTGCTGAGCACCCTTTGAGGGGAGAAATATGGCTCAGGTTTGAGCTATAGGCACTCTGCTGTGCCAAGAACATTTTATTCTGTTATTGGACCTAATTAAACGTTAAAAGCAACTGTGAATTCAAAAATGTCCCCAGCAGTGGAGGGCAATTGATTGGCAATCTTTTCTTGTGTGTGCAGGGATGGCGGAAAAAAAAATCCAACAAACAATGTAAATGTGCAGAGCAAGACCTGAAAAACAAATGTGTTGGGCATGACAGAGGTAGTCCACGTCCATGTAGACATACATAAGCAAGCACCACAATTCTTGGGAGTCAATGACTCTTTTCTACATTCATTACTTTCATTACACTTTTTGCCCCTCTCTTTAACAAGCTGTTACCATGTGTGGTGCTTGTGTAACAAGTTGCACTTCACCCGTAGCCTGGAGGTGTGTGATGGTCGAAGGCACCTTTGCAGCCGTGTCCTGGTGCAGTCCTCGCTGCTCCCACTCGCCCAGGGCCTGAGCACCAGCAGCAAACACCGCCCAGCAAACGTGCCCTGGCTGTGAGGGGATCAGAGCAGCAGCTCAAGTCCCTAAGTCCCTGTCCCATTCAAGCCAGGGACTCTGGTGAAGTTGTCAGCACAGACACCAGCCGCTGTCAGCCACGTCACATGGACACCTCCCTTCCAAGAGCAAAGAGAGGTTCCTCCCACAGAGCACATGGAGACCACCTTTACCTTGAGGCTTCATCTGCCCCACCTGGAGTGAGGTTTGTTTGTGGCAGTGGGCATTTCATGGCCTGCTGTTCTTTCAATCCTTCCTGGGGCCTGTACAAGGCTGTTCTCTCCTGTTACTGACTTAGCACCACTTAGCGTGAGCTTTTGTAAGGTTGTCTTCCTGAGAAACTGGGAGACGCTCATGGACAGCTTGGAAGGTTGGTCCATCAGAGCAAATGTCAAGAAAATGTACTTGGTTTTAAGGGTGTCTTGTTTTGTTTTGGTTTTGTTGTTTGTTTTGGGGTTTGGTGTTTGTTTATTTAACATTACAACATTAGATAGCTTTATTATGAATCTGACGGACTGGGTAGGACATGCTGAGAAGCCCTGCCCATGTGCTCATGCAAGGACGCATTTTGGGCAGGTATCCTTACAGCAGGAACTGCAGAGCTGAAGCCACAGCTTACACTTACAGCAACAGTGTCCTTCTGGGGCTCTGTCCTTCTGAGCCACAATCTTGCCTTGCTCTGCCTTTTGAGGCTGCTCAGTTCTGTGCTGCTGCTGCTGCTGCCAGCAGGTTTCTGCACTAAGTCTGTTGGTACATCACTCATGAAAGCATGGGCTTTGTTGGGTATGAACTCATGGCAAAAACATGCTGGGGAGTCTAAGGAAACGGCCTGTTTTAGTAAGCAGTGTGGATCAAATGGTAAAAATCACTTACTTTTATTGTTAGAAAGCTTATATTTGACAAGTAACATCCTGGTACTGTGTTCCCATCTGAGCCCTGCTGCAGGGACAATGCTCCTGGCCCACCAGGGAGTTGTACTTGTGTCACACACATGAAGAAGCTCACATTTATCTGCAGTACAGCCCGGGTGTGGGCCATACAGGTGGGATAAATGTGCTTGCAGTGGTACACAGGACACACAACACTGCTGCACTGCTCACAGAGGACCATCTGTACCAGGCTGTGCAAACAAAAGGAGTGGAGTTAAAGCTGCTGTTGCTGTACTAAGCAGCCCCATCATTCTCCTCACTGTTAGATACATGAAAATCGAAACCTCTGGGTAGTTACAGCTTGACAATCCTGATGTGGTTTTCTCCCTACCTAATTTTCAAAATACTTACTTAATTATAACAACCGGCAGTAACATGTATATACTGCAAAAAGACTGACACTTCTGCAACTAAGAGCACAAGAGCTGTGGGAGTGTTGTTAAAGCTGAACATTTCATGGTTTGGTGTGGTTATTCTTATGCCTGATTTTAAGTTATCTCAGTAAATCAGATATTAAGGAAAGCCAGCTGCTTCTGCTAAATAAACTCCATTGTCTAAGCCTTAAAGGGAGCAGAATAGCCAGGTGGAGTTATTGATCTGTGAGTATCAGCTGGCTGGGCCTCCCAGGCAGAGCGCTCCTGTTCCTTGTGATGGCCTGTGGCTACAAGGGAGCACAGCCCGAGGCAGCAGCCAGGCTGCTCTGCTGGCCTTGGCTTCCCTGAGCTGCAAACAATTTATTGCCAACGAAGCAGGGAATCTGTCAGTGTAAGTTTTCCCCGTGGAAACTTTAGCTCGGGTGAAGACAATGGCAAAACCCCCATGACTTGTGGTGTGGTGTGTGTGTGTGTTATATCAGACCTGACACAATGCAGGACAGAGTTCTTTGTCTCACTTCATCAGCTGAACAATTTGAAGCTGCTCCGCAGATTTGCCTACTGAACTGGATGCTACCTGCTTTTTTGCAATTTATTTCTTTGTCTCCAGCATTAAGAAATCAATGAAATTATACCTTGACGTCCACAAGGTAACTGTTTTCCACTTTTACAACTGATTGGTTTCTTGGTAAGGAGTATAAATTCTTTTATCTCTGGTCTGTTTTAAGCCTGATGGAAAAAAAACCCCAAACCCAAACAAACAAAAAACCCCCAAAAACTTTGTGAAATTAATTAAAAAATTAAGCTAAGAAATGTTTATATTTTGGGATGAGAGACTGAAGCTTTGATTTTCTTTGAAGTGGTAGCTGTATTGGGTTTATATTGCTTTGTTTTGCATATTTGGATCCTGTATGTTAATTTGTGTCATAATACTTTTTAGTATAAGCAAAAATTTTGGAATACGAAGTTTAGATATTAGTATGCATTTGGACTTGGGTGATTTGTTTGCAAATCACTCTGTTGTGATCCGTTTTTTAAAATTCTTATTTGCAGTTGGTCGCAGCTTCTAAAAATTGCAGTTCTAGAGTGTGTTTTAGGGCACCATCTTCTGGCAGACAGCACACACTGTATTTGAATGGCTGCCCTCGCTAGGCACAACTATTTAAAATATTTCTGACTAACACCACTCTGCAGGCTTACAGGTCGTTTCTCATTCTAAATCTGCAATAAAACACTATTTAACATTTTTTACATTCTTCTTATTCACTGCAACTGCAGCTATTCACTGTGCTGCACAAGCATAGCTTGGGACAGACCCTGTAAAATTCCAGTCACAACAGGCGCTTTGTGAACGTGCTGGGGTAGACAGACAACATCTGTCCAAGCACTTATGATTAATGCACCATATATGTATCTTATTTCTTTTATAGCTTCATCTTCCACTTCTCTTCATATTTCAGATAATCACCCTTCTGTCCAGCGTGGTTTATGGGCTCACACTTTGGAGGCTACACAGGGCACTAGCTATAATTCCTTGCACTCACAGGACACAGTCACTGCATATTCCAATGCAATCAGTTAGCAACCACTACATTTGCATAAATCCATCATTTACTTGGTCAGCTCAATTAGCAGTGCACCCACTTAGTACTTTTAAGGAGGTCTGAAGTGATACAGCTTCTGGTTTCAGAGACTTGCAGGAGCTACAATTTCTCTTGACATGATAAAATGGAAGTCCTGATTACAACATGCAAATCTTCATCCAGCAAAGGAATCA